ACACATATATGCACTCACGGGGATAGAGCAGGGAGACACACACACACACACACACACACACACACACACACACACGGGTAGTGAGCAAGGAAATGCACACACGGGAGACACGTGTACATGGGGAGTGAGACACACAGGCACACACAGGCACACAGCCCCATGAGGATTGAGAGGGAAATGCACATGGGAGTGAGCAGGGTGGCAATTACACCACCCCCTGACCCCAACCAGAAAGGCCCTCAGCACATTCTCTGGGTTCTGGCGAGGCATTTGGCTCCCCAGGCTTGGGAGGGCGGCTCCCTGACTGCAGGCCCAGTGTGGGTGTGTCCTGTGGCAGGACTCCGCTGGCTGGCGTCCAGAGGTGGCACTCAGGCTGCTGCCCGCTGAGGGGCCTGCTCCCGGTGAGCCTTCTCTCCGCTGGGTCTGTAGAGGGCGATCGTGTCACTGGAATCCACCTTCTGCGCAGCCTCTGAGCTGCGGCTGGCGGCAGCAGCCTTGCCCCCTCAGCCCCCGAAATGCCGGTCAGACGGGGCTTCCCCGGGTGTTGCTGGTGTGTGCTCTTGAGTGCAGCAGCTCTGCGCCTGCTGAGCCCCTCCTGTGGGGGCTGTGCTCCCCATCTGGGATGCAGGAGGGCGTGTAAGTAGTGGCGTGTGGGTCTTCCCGGGTCCCTGCAGCCTGGCTCTGCGCCTTCAGGCCAGAGGCCTCAGCATCTTGGCAGAGAAAAGAGGGGCTGCCTTTGGCCTGGATCAGCTGGGGGCTCAGATTTGCGGTTTGGGGGCTCAGTCTGGTTGCCCAGGGGACTGCAGTTCAGGGGGTACAGTATGTGACCGCAGCACGTCACTCCCGTGACCACACAGGTTCGTGCTGCTCCCCCAACCCGAGGGCCAGCATTTGCCCAGAAGTGGGCTTGTATGGTGGGGTTCATGGTTCCCTGGGACCATCTTGATCATGCCACAGGTTCTGCCGTCAGAGCTGACACACGCCTGCCTGTTGCCTGGCCGGGGCTCAGTGCTCCTGAGGGCGTGGTTTGGGCTGAGGGTGGTTTGGCCTGCCCCATTCTCATCAAAGCCCTTCCACCTGACAGTGGCTTAGGGGAGAGATTGCTGTCAGCCCCTCATCCTCAGAGGTGGGGTGACTGTGTTAAGAGGGGGGAGTGGGGGGAGCTTTGGGCCACTGGAGCTGGCTTGGAGGCCTTAGGACCCTGAACAGCACAGAGAGCCATGGCCACCTCAGGCGCTTTGGCTGCTGCCATGGGAAGGCACTTCGTGGGCATCCAAGCAGGCCCCTGGGCCCACCCTGATGGTGCTGTGACTCTTCTCTTGCAGGAGGAGGAAGCCAAGAAGCTGGTGAGTGAGGCCATCTCAGCTGGCATCTTCAACGACCTGGGCTCAGGGAGCAACATCGACCTCTGCGTCATCAGCAAGAGCAAGCTGGACTTCCTGCGCCCCTACTCCGTGCCCAACAAGAAGGGGACCAGGTGAGCCCTGGTTTCCTTCATTCTTCACCCTGTTGGCTAGGCCGCGGTCTCTGAGCTGGCTCTCGCCTTGGCACAAGAGTTTGTCTCACGACTGTGGGATGAGGTGGCTGAAGTATCTTTCCTGGGGAGCGGACAGGCCCGGTGCGATGGGGTTCAGGAGTGAGCCCGCGGCCAGCATTGGCACCCGAGCTGGAACCCCGGTCCTGTCTCTGCTTTCGAAGTGCCCCTGACAGCTGTGGTATGTTGTGAGGGCGGGAGTGCTTCCGGCGTGGCTGGCCCACTGCTCAGTCTTTACTGGATCCTGACGGGGCCTCTGGAGCAGCCCGGAGAGATGCGCGTGGACTTGGCCCAGGGGCTGCATGAGCAGGTGCGCCTCCATGCTGCTGGCGTGACCAGTGGCTCCTTCCTGCAGGCTGCGTGCTGGCTGCGGGGTCTGCAGGGCCAGGGCAGGGGGTCCCTTTGGAAATGCTGCTTCCACTTGACCACACCCATGCAAATTCCAGCCCTGCCGTGCTTGACAGGGAGAGCGAGGGCTTGGAGCCCCGGTGGTCTGAGCTGCGTGGGGCTCCGCATTGTGGACTCCTGGGGCTGCTGCTGGCCAGAGGGGTGGCTATGGCAGGTCCTTCTCTGCCTGTGAACGATGGCACTAGACTGGGCGACTCCTGATGCCATTTGGGAGTTCTTCGGAGAGCCAGGCACCCGAATGGCTCGCACGTCCTGAGCTCTATAGGTTTCTCCCTCTTTGAGCATGTACCTGTCCCATTGGGAAGGGGGCGCTGGAGGTGCCTGCGGCCCCACTCCCCCTGTGAGTGGGGATGGGTGGACAGAAACCCTGTGGGCAGACTGTTTGGGTGGGGGTGTTGCTGCTGCCCAGGGTTGGGGTCACCGCTGGAGATCCTCTCTCCTCTCCTGAGCCTTCAGAGGGTCTGATGACAGCCCCCAGAGCCTGCTGTGGGTCATTCTTATTCTTTCTGCTTTGTGTTTTTTTAATGTGTGTGGGGGGAAGAGGGATTGCTGTTTGGGTTACTTGCAACTGTGCCCAGGGCTCTTCATGGCTCTGCACTTAGTGATCACCCTTAGTGGGCTCGGGGGTCATTTGGGGTGCTGAGGATTGAACCCGGGTTGGCTCCGTGCTACATGGAGCAGTGGCTCCTTGAAGCATGTTCAGGTGTCTGCGGCGGTGGTTAAGTCGTGTTCCCTGCTGCTAAGAGAGGTGGTGGCAGCTAAATGCAAGGCTTCACTGTGCCTGTGCCTGAAAGTGTTGCAGGGTGGAGGTGAGGGCAGGACCAGCGTCAACAGCCCCATGCCCCCGGCCACGCGTGGCCTCTGGCCTGGAGAGCTGAGACTGGGAGCTGGGAACAGTTGGCTCCAGGGTTCCAGCAGGCTCACCGCCTTGCCCCAACATGTGGGCCTGCGTCCGTTACCCTAATTCTGTGCTTCTGTCACTCTAGGTTTGGCCGATACAGGTGTGAGAAAGGGACCACTGCTGTCCTCACCGAGAAAGTCGCTCCTCTGGAGATTGAGGTGGTGGAAGAGACAGTTCAAACCATGGACACTTCCTGAACAGGCTGGGGTGGTGACACGGGGACGGGGGCATCGGGGCTTCCGTGTAAGATGTTCCTTTGGCTGAAGCTTGCTGAACAACATTTAATAAAAGTTCGAAGAGCAAGAGGAGTACTGAGTCTGGGTGCTGTGAGTGCCGGATGCGGCAGCCCTCCAAATGTGCTCAGTGGGGTGCATGAGCACGTGACTCTGCTAGGAAGAGGGTGCGTGTGGAGCTCTGGGTGTGACTGTGTATGCCCATGGTGGTGTGTGTGTGTCTGTGTGTTCACCTTTGATCCCTGGGTGTGGATGTTGTCACCCTTGATCCCTAGGTGCTTCTCCAAGCTTGGGTTTCAGAGTATGCACCTTATACCTACCCAGACCAGACAGGTAGGGGGCAGCCGCCTAACCTAGATAAACCCCGCTCTGCCCACACTCTCCGAAAGGAATGCCCAGGGCCTGCTGTTTGCCATAAAGGTTCTGAGCCCTTTGTGGACACCTAGGGCTGGTTCAGGGTCGAGGCTTCTGGGTGACGGTAGTGGCAGGGGTGTGCTCCCTGTGCTGAACGTGGAGACCCCTGGGTGGCGCTCTGAACACTTTGAGCAGAGTACCCGCCGCATCTCCCCGGGATCAAAACAGCTTGCGGTGGTGAATGCTGGCCTAGAGATGGGGCTTGACTAGGCACCCCGACTTATCTGCTGACTGGGGGATATGGGACAGAGACCCGGTGCCCATTGTGACCCACCTTGAAGATCCACTTCCCTGTCCACGGTGCCAGAAGGAAGGTGGGGGGAGAGGGCGGCAACCTGGCTGAGGATCATGGCAGAATTATCTGGGGCTCTTGAAAAAATTCTGGGAGTGTTCGGAATATCTGGGATGGGGAAAAGGAGTTTTTAAAGTCACTAAGAAATTGTGTTTTCCATGTGAGGTTGTTTTAAAATGATTCGTGAGACACACGCATCCACAGAAGACACTCTCTTGCCGCATTTTATTTCAGACATGGAGGACGAATACAAAGCAAGGGCTGCATTTGAAGACACTCTCTCGGCCCGACAGTTACAGTAGAACAGAGTCACACACAGAGACAGAGCAGGGCCTGGCCCCCAGCTCCGACCCCCGGGACCATCCCGGGCACTGGCCAGGGGACTGACCTCTCACCAAGTCAGAGGACGACAACTTAGACCATTGGAGGATTAACATGAGTATGAAAACGATTCCTTCAAAGCTCGAGTTTCCTTAAGTTCACATTTATAAGTTAGTCTTCACAGTTAATCCTATTTGGGGCCGAGAGAGCAATGGACACATTTCTGGTTTCCTACACAGACGACAGTTGTACGTTAATTCTTGGTTTACGTGGTCCAGGCACTTGGGTGTTGTGCGGGCTGAGTGGTGCCACTTGGGGCTCTTCCACCATATGTGGTGTCTTCGCCATTTTCTTTCAGATGCTGTGAGCCACCAAAGTCAGCAGTCACAAGGCCCGTTTTACAGCGGAGGGAGACTAAGGCTCAGAGAGGCAAAAATAAAAAAAAACAACAAAAAACAAAACCCAAAACAGAACAAGAAAACTTGCCCAAGGATGCTCTAGGGAGGTGCTGAACTGGAATCTGCAGAAAACGGGCGAGGGCTGGGCCCTCAGTTTCCCGCCTTCCCCCAGGAGAGGAGAGCACCTAACACTGACACGGTGGCGACATGGCCCGGCTCCCCTTTATCCGAGGAAAGGCAGGGCCACAGCTAGGGAGCTGAAAGGGTCACCCCTGTCCCAGGCTCCCTAGAACCCAGGACAGGACACTGAAGGAATGATTTGAGAAGGTTCACATTACAGTTCAGACCCAAGGGGCGCGCCCGGCAACCCCGCAGAGATAGCCCACAAGGGTTTAAAGAAAGAACTTTGAAATCTATCCCCCCTCCCCGTGCCCCCACCCACAGCTGCCCTGCACACAGCTCCCCCATACCCCACCCCCCGACCCCCCACTCCCGGGAGTGCACCCTCGTGTCTGAGTTGTCTGGGCTCCCGGGGTCCAAGAGAGGAGGGAGGGAGGGCAGCACAGGCGTTCGGGGCTCAGGTGCTTGCTGCCCTGCCGTGCATCTGCCGGGCCACCTGGTGCACGTAGCTGATGTCAGGCCTCTGCGCAGGGTCCGGGTGGATGCACATCCCGACAAGTTCCCGCAGCTGCCCAGAGGAAAAGGGGCATGTGTGACCAGTGGGGGCAGTGGCTGCCCGGTTCCCACGAACTTGCACCCTCAGCAGCGAGATGAAGGAAGGAGGCCACAGGGAGCCTGGCAGGACCTGGGCCCTTTTCGTCGTCTGCACCCCTGCTAAGCGCGGCATGTGTGCACCCACGCTGTCACTCACGCAGACGCCCAGAGCAGAGGACGCAGCTCAGGCGAGGGCTTATTGATCATCATAAATGCATGAACATGCAGCAGGGCTGCAGTCTGCCCGTCCCTGGCCTCTTTATTGTGCTCCTGATAGACGGAGCTTTTAATTATCCCCCACACCGGTGGCTGCGCTGCCCCGACGGGGGAGGGGTGCCGGGGAGTCAGAGTGCCAATTATTTTAGTGGTAATTAAAAGAATGACCTTAAAAAGCCTCCGTCCTCTCTCGCCTCTGACCTGTCCCATGTTTTCCATGCCGGCTGCCGGGAGGACTGGGGCTGGCTGACCTTCGGGGTCGGGGTCAGCCGCCGCCACTGTGAGGGGGGCAGGGGTTCCCGGGACTCAGCCCCACCCAGGATGTGTCAAGAAGGGGGAAGGGTCATGGGGGCCCCAGTGCTACTGCCCACTCCAGCTGAGGGGTCTGTGCGTCTGAGTGTCCTGAGGGGCTTTAGCACTCTGATCGTCTGCGTGCCACCTTTCTGGGGAGCCAGGGCTTAACCCTGGGGGGCCCGGACAGACCCAGGGGAGTCTGTAGCCAGCCAGAGGCTTCTGGCATCTGGTTCCCAGAGAGGCAGAGTGGGCCTTGCTAAGCCCGGGAAAGGCAGCTGTGTTCGGCCCCTGGCAGGTCACATGCCTGAGAGAACCAGTGAGGGGGATGCTCTGTACCCCAAATCGTTCATTTGTGCATAGACCATACAGATAACAGCGGCTGCCTTACATGTTCAGAAATCAAGAGAAAAGGGAAATAAAATATTCTCCATTTCTAACAGATGAAATAACTTCTGGGATTCGGGGGAGCTCAAAGGGCTTCACACAGGTTTCGAACACCAGGAACCACAGGTCCAGCCCCTGCTACTGCATGATCGCCCTGAGCACTGCCGGGAGCAATTCCCATGCTCCTCCATGTATGACCCAAAACAGAAAAAATGAGGGGTTCTCTTCCAGATAATGTAGAAATGCTTCTGCTCATGAAAGAGTGCGTGTGTGTGTGTGTGTGTGTGTGTGTGTGTGTGTGTGTGCGCGCATGCGTGCGCACGTGCGCACATGTACACTCATGCAACGGGATGGGACTTGCGGATTCCTGTGTTTTGGCCTTATGTCTGCAAGGCTAAGGGGAACTGAGACACAGAAAACCTCCCCACACACTAACCATCCCACATCTCACCCCCCTGCTTTCACCTCCCTGCATACTTACCCCTCTGAACTCACCTCCCCGCACACTCCCCCTGCACCGCATCCCCCCACCCCCATCTTCTCGCACACACCTCCCCACACACTCACCTTCTCAGAGTAATGCTCGGCGGGCAGTGGTGGGTAGTCACACTGCTCGATCTTTTGACACAGGGAGAAGAGGTTCATCTTGTCACCGTAGAAGGGGCTCTGGAGGGCAGCCATCTGTGAGGGAGGGACACGGCTTAGCCTGTAGCCCCACGGTACAGGAGCAGTACCTGAGTGGGGGTGGCAGGCCCGAGGAGCTGGGAGCCTGCAGAAGGCGGCATTGGCTGTTTCCCCTCATCCTCGGGGTGGCGGGGATGTGGCGGCCTCTCACACCCAACCACGCCCACTGCACAGCAGTCATGGAGCTGCAGGGGCGTGCTGAGCTTGGGCCTTCCCTCCCTACTTCAGATTTGGCTCTTTCTTTTCCCAGTCCCGTGTGCAGCTGGGAGACAGGGCCAGGGCCTGGGACTTCCTGCTTCCAGGATGCTCGGGGCCTTCATGGTGGCCTGGTCTCCCCTAGCTGGCCACGGCAGGGAGATGTGTTCGACAGCATGGGGTGGCAGGCACCAGTGGAACGGGGACCTCGTCAGCCCCCCCCCCCCCCCCCCCCCCCCGTTTCTGGCAGACATCCCGACTCCCCACCTGACCCACCATCACTACCGGGGTGTTCAACAAGGGGGCACTCAGGAGCTGTGGGCAGCTCAGTTCTCATCTGCTGATCAGACCATAATGGGTTCATTCGCACTCTTGCTGGCAGATGGGGCCCCCCAGGCTCCACTAAGGATGTGGCACTGTGGGGCATGGTGCCTTCCTGCCCACCTGGCCCTGGTTCCCTGCCAAACTGCTCGGCAAAGCCACAGGGCTCCGGGCTGCAGCTGTGATGGGCAGTGGGGTCCCCGAGGAGCAACCCCTTGTCGCATGCCCAAGGGTAGCCAACGAGCCCCTCTCGGGACGGGGAGGGGCTGGGGTGCTTGGTTTGTGGGTGCCAGTCAGCTTAGTTCTCTGGGTGCCCCCACCCCCGCTGTGAGTAGACCTGGGGTCCCCACGGACAGGGCTGCCTCCAAGTGCCAGCCAGGGGCTTGAGCCTGTGGGCAGGGCGTGTCCTGGATATTGGGGTTTTCATGGGCCCAGGTATAGCTGTGGGCAGTACCAGTGTCCCTCTCACCCTGTGCTCCCTCAGAGAGGGGGCAAGGAGTCTGGTAGGGAAGACCAAGAGCAGAAGTCCAGACAGCCCCATGCCCCCAGGAGAAGGGGATCTCGGGCCCAGTGTCCCCCCTCCCCCAGGCCTCAGCTCCACTGGGTGATACTGGGCTGTGGCACACATCCCGAGGCGCCCCCTTCCCCCGTGCCCCCCAAGGGCTACCCCACTCACCTCATACAACAGACAGCCCAGAGACCAGATGTCCGACTTGAAGTTGTAGCCATTCTCGTGGATTCTCTCCGGGGACATGTAGTAAGGTGTCCCCACTGCAACAGAACGAGGGAACAGCACGTGAGGGTGGGGCGCTGCACCCACTCTGCTCCCATTTTATCGAAGAGAGCTGGCCAGGCTGGACGGGCAGTGGGGCATCCTGTCTGCCCCATGCCCAGGGAAGTAGGATGTGGCTGGCCTGACTCTCAGGAGTGACTGTTCCATGTTATTGTCCAAACTGTTAGATCCCACCCGCGGTTCATGCTAACCTCACCCCAAGTAGGAAATGTCTTAGCTGTTTCCTAGTGTTTTCATGAAGAGCCCATTTCAAAGCTGGGAAGACTGAAGCCTTGATACGCAGAGGGATGTGAGTAAAAGCAGCAGAGATGAGGGGCAAATGTGGACCCGCAGGGCCAGAACTGCATTCTTAGTTCCACTCCCAAGGGGTTGGCTGGAAGACAAGGGCAGCGGGCCCCGGGTCATGTGGGACCCTGGATGGAAGCTTCCTGCCCCAGGGCTGCCTGCAATGGGGTGACACACAGGTGGGAGGGAAAGCATGCTACCCCCCACCCCCCGTCACGGCCTGTGTTCCCGTGACCATCCAGCCAAGTCAGCCCGTCCAATGTCCTCTGTCCTGTCACTTCTCCCTTTGCCAGTCCTGCTGTGTGAAGCCTCAGGCACTCAGGAGAGAAAGGCTGAGAACCCACCCCATGCCTCCTACCTTTCTGCTTTCATTCCCCCATTCCACAGATGTAAGGAAAAGAAGGCAGACCTCCAAATGGCACTTGGACTTCTTCAAAGATGCCAGTGTAATTGATGCCAGCCACCCATCCATCCACCTGCCCATCCATCCATCCATCCATCTGTTCATCTATCCACAATCATCCAACATTTGTTCATCCATCAGTCCTTCCATCCAAAAGTCATCCATCGTGTTTATCCATCTATCCATAATCATCTACTTGTCCATGCATCCATCTGTCCAGCCATCGTCCGTCCGTCCGTCCGTCCATCCATCCATCCGTCCTGTCATGTACAGTCCGTCCACTCATTTACAGTTGTCTATCTGCCCAGCCACAATTATTCATCACATGTTTATCATCCATTCTAATTGTTGTGGTCAATCCATCCATCCACTCACCCACTGTCCATCTGTCTGTCCACGCATGCATCTCAGTCCAGTGTTAACTGCCTCCAGATGCAGTGCTCTGCTCTCCCAAGAGAGCCTTTGGAAGAATGAGCCGTGCTCTCAGGAAGCATGCAGAAGGGAAGCATGTCCCGGAAAGACTAGGCTGTTCAGAATCAGCAGAATCACCTCTAGGACCCTACAGACCCATGTGCCAACCCACCCCTGGTCTGTGGGAGCAGGATCCCCCATTCTGGAACGGTACCCTCGGCCCTCTCACGAGCAACCAGATTCTGATGTCTGTCACTGATGGGCAGGCCTATGTAAAGCCTCGCCCACCCGCTCATCCTTCTAGATGTTCAAACATCTGTAGAATACGCAACAGGAACCAAGGGAAAGTTGGTCTGTCCTCCCTGGGACTGGGTGTCCCCTGTTGTCTTCAGCTCTGGGAGATTCTCCAGATTTCTGCCCAGGGGAGGATGGGGCTCACCCCTGGTCTGTGCATCTTAGTGCTCTGCCTAACGGAGGCCATCGGCTAGCGCCAGTCTGCATCCAGCTGCAGGAGGTGGAGGCAGCCCGGAAGAAGCTGCACAAACCCAGCCTGAGACGGGAGTGGACACAGCCATAAGGCCGAGTGCCCACCCGGCTGGTGTTCTGCGTCTACAACAGGAGGCTGCAAAGAAGCTCGAATCTGGCCACCGCTGTGTCCCCCAACCAGGAGGAGTGATTCTGGGGACAAGGGCGGGGGATCCAAATGGGTGGTCACAGGATGACCAAGCCTAGGGCTGTCCCCTGCACAGGCGACCTCTGTGGCATGTTTGGGTGGCAAAGCAGACACTGCTCAGAAGCCCTTCCTCAGTCTCCCTGCTGGGCCCAGCACCCTATCACAGCTGGAGATGAAGTCGGCGAACTGACCATCCTACAACACCCCAACTGCAGAGGTGGCTGATAACGGGGTATTTTCCCGAGACTCGCCATGCTGGGAATCTCTCGGGGGGTGGGGTGGGGTCTGAGTTCTCAGCAAAGCTCACCCCCCATGGTGGGGGGGGCAGCATCTATGGGGTCCTGAGAGTGGGGAAGCAGCCCTGTGCAGCCCCCATCCTTCCGGCGAGACTTGGGGTGCTGCGGATGGGGCCTGGACAGTATAAGTGCTCTGGGCACTGGCTGGGTGCGTCCCTGAAACCAACCAACAAAATTGATCAAATAAATAAAAAGGCAAAATGCTTCCAACCCCCCTTAGAGGTGTCTCCCTGTCTCGCTTGGTGCCCTCAGACCTCTGCAGAGAACAAGGCTGCCCCCAGGCTCCTCCATGAGGCTCAGGGTGGGGGCCAGGGCTGCGCCTGCCAGTGAGCCCTTGGAGAAGGTCCCGCTTGTCTCCTGACCTGGCACCTTGTGACAGCCCGCTCGCCAGTGTAGGGAGCGCAGATTCATCTCAGGTCCCTCAGCCCTCACCCAGGCTGTGTGCTTAGGGAAGGAAGGCGGAAGGGCTCATGATGCCCCTCCATCAACATTGGGGTTTGGTGGCCTGAGGAAGCCGGGGGTCCTGATGGCTGGTGCCTGATGGTGTGGCCCCTCCCAGCAGAGAGGTGGTCCCCCCGTGCACCCCTGAGCCCGGCCTGTGACCGCCTGTCAAACAGCAGAGCCCGTGTGCCAGCCCCACGATTTGTCTTGCAGCTGCTGCCAGGGCTGGGAGCAAGACACTCGCTTGTAGCTTGCGAGCTGTGTAGAGGCAAATCTTTCATTTTTCTTTCATTATGCCGGCGTGTACTGTCACTTAATTTTTATGTATGCAACCCTTCCTGACAAATATGATCTGCTCCCTGGTAATCCGTCTGACGCTCATTCTGCTCCGGCTCTAATTACGGCTCCTATCCCTGACGCCCAGGCAGCGCTGCCACCACTGGGTACCGCACCTGTCAGCCTGGCCATGACATGACTAATGCCCTTTCATGCCAGCCCTGTGTGAGCCGAGGTGGAGGCGGTGAGGGCCCTGGGGAGGGGGGCACGGGAGACGAGCTCCATGGGAACCCGGCTGGGGGTCAGCAGCCCTTGGGGCCGAGGGGGGCATCTGGGGCCACGTGGGCACCACCCACCACAGCACCTCCACACAGTAGGTGCACAGAGGCGCAGTGGATGCATAATTCATACCCGGGCACAGCGTGAGGGAGCCACTGCCCCCCTTCCTTCCGGAGTCACCGCATGCTGGCAATTAGCGGCTGTCTTGCCCGACTGGGCGGGCGTGAGCTGGGCTGCGTGCAGAGCAGGCTGTGTGCGGAGAGGGGCGCCTTCCTGCAGCCTGGGCCTGGGTTCTGGCCTCATGCTGTCCCTGATTCTGGGAGCTGGTCGCCCTGTTAGACTGCTCAGCCCCTCAGGGAGAGCTGGGCTCCCAGGGGCAGCTGTGCCCAAGTTCTTGTTCCTTCTCATTAAGAAGTACCCCAGTCCAGTGATCACCTCAAGACTGTGTTCCTGCCTGTCTGAAGGATGGCGGTGGGGGTGGCACCCCTAGTGTGCTGGGAGGGGCTGAGGCTTGAGTCATAGGACAGAGCAGTCGCCGGCCCATAGCCCAGCAATAGTCGCCCTTGCATCTCTTGCCCAGGCTGGCAGTCTTCTGGTGGATCAGGGTCTGCAAGACCAGGGTCATGGTGCCACATGTCTCAGAAGAACTCCCTGCGTGTCAGACATGCCCCCCCCTCCCCTCTGAAAGACGGAAGGGCCCACAGGTGTGAAGAGCTTGTCCTAACACAGGACAGGTCACCCTCGAACCTTTTCCATTTGAACTAAAGAAGGAACCACAATGGCCCAACTCCCAATGTCCTGCAAGAAGAGATGGGACACGTTTCCAAACAACCACACACACACACAGACACACAGACACATGTGTACACACACGCATAGACCACACAGTACACACAGACACATGCATTCACAGTGCACATGTGTGCACACTCAAACACACACAAGCACGCTTACACACATGCATAATCACGGTTCATGCACTCAGGCACACATATACACACAATGCACACATGGACATGAGCACATACAGACTAACACACACTGGCACAGCCTACACGCACACACTGGCCTCATGTGCAGACACCCACAACACATACATAAAGGCTCATACTCATGCCTGCTGGCACAGACGTGTACACACACTATATGCAAAAGCTCATACACTTGTACATCACAGGCATGCACACTCACAAGATACACACACTCACTTCTATAAGCCACTCGGCTTTCTGGGAGGTGAGAACCCAGGGCCTCATAGCTGCAAGGCATGAGCAATCGCCAAGCCGAGGCCATGGATCCCATCCCAGCTCCTGGCTACAGGAGCTGGGACCCCCCCCCTACCCCCCCCCCCCCCACACACACCCTGATGCTCCATGGATCCGGAGTGCGTGCAGCCCTATAACCTGCATGAACTTTGTGACAGTTCCCACCTGGATAGTGTCTCCTGAGGCACCATTGGCTGCCCCCAGAAGATGCTGCAGGTACCAAGGGTTGCGGGTACGGTGGGGGCGGGGGTGGGGGGCAGACTCTGCATGTGGGTTTCCCAGGGAGGCAGTGGACCCAAGGGGGGACTTTCTGCCTGTGTTCTGAGTCGCATACAAGAGCCTGTGGAGAAACTTTCTCTGCAAATGCTGCCTCCAAGGGCAGAAATGCAGGGCCTGGGGGAGTGGGCATCTCATTCCCATGGCCCTGGTTGGCTGATTGCTTGGAAGGCACGGGGCACCCTCTGCCTGTTCCATAGGGCACAGCGGATGCTCTGTTGCCTCTATGCGCTATTCAGGGACTGTGCCTTGTCCTGACCTCTCAGCTGCACGTCCAGTTCCCTGACAGTTATGTCCCAGCGGATGCGTTTGCTCACCGTTGCTTCGCACGACCCAACCTTGCACCAGTCCCTGGGTCACCCGCCTGCATCTCCTGGGACAGCACCTGGCCACTGAGCACAGAGTCCCAGGCCTGGGCGCCTTTCTCACCACCCAGGTTGGTCCCGGGTCCTTGCTCCCTCCATTCCCTTCCTCTCAGTGCCCCCAGCTCACAGTTCAGTCACGGCATCACCCTCTACCCAAAGGGTCTGTTAAATCTGGACACAGCTCAGATCTCTCGACAACAAGCTGCTCTCAACAGCCTGGACAGGACACAGCAACCAGAGACAGAAGGACGGTAGGTGTGATGACGGATGCACATCCACATCTCCATCCAGAAAAGGGGCCAGTCATCCTCAGGAGGGCCTAAGGATGCAGGGGACCCCTTGGGTCCTCTCCTCACTCCCAGGAGCCCCTGCTCTGAAAGGGTGAAGTCTGAGATATCGGGCACAAGTGAGGCACCAAGGAGCACCTGCTCTGGGTAATTAGGCCCTGGAGTGCACAGGGGGTGCACAGAGCCCCTTACCTAGGGAGTGGGCAGCGGTGGTCTCAGAGCTGAAGAAGCGGCCCAGTCCAAGGTCCCCGAGCTTCACGATGCCCGTGGCTGTGATGAAGACGTTGGCAGGCTTGATGTCTGTGGGGGGAGGAGAGGCGGCTGGGTAGGGACTGGGGGAGGCGGGAGCTGGGGTGGGCTGGACCTGCCCCCCCTTCTGGAGGGGCCACACGTACCTCGGTGCATGACCCTGCGGGAATGCATGTGCTCCACAGCCCCGCAGAGCTGCACGAAGTACTTCCACACCGTCCTCTCGGGGATGAGCCGCTTCTGCTTCTTGAAGTACTGGCAGAGGGGAGAGACAGACTGACGGACAGGCCCGGGGGCAACCACCCTATGTGCCCAGTGGGCAGCAAACAGCTGGCACAGATGGGTTGTCAGTCTGCAGAGTCAGCAAGAAACTCTGATGGCAGGCTGGGGTGATAGTACAGGGGTAGGGCGCTTGCCTTGCATGCAGCTAACCTAGATTTGATCCCCCGCATCCCCCGTGGTCCCCCAAGTACCACCAGGAGTGATTCCTGAGCGCAGAGCCAGGAATGAGCGCTGAGCACTGTTGGGTATTGCCCAACATCCAAAAGAAGAAAAGAAATGAAGCTCTAATGGGTCCAAGTGTTGGTACAGCGGTTAAGGCTCTTGTCTTGCATGTGGCTGACCCAAGTTCAATCCCCAGCACCCATATAGTCCCCCAAGCTTGCTAGGAATCAGTCCTGAGCACAGAGCCAGGAGTCAGCCCTCAGTACCTCTGGTTATAACTCCCAAAACTTAAGTACTTGAATGGCAAGTACCAGGTGCAGCCTCATCACCCTTTGGGAACCCATCACACCCTGCAGCCCCATGACCCCCACACTCAGCAGGCCATAAGAACTGGCCCCTTGTGGGTCCTGGAGGTGGTGCTTTTCTGAAATCTGGGCACGGGGCAATGCTTAGGGGACTGGGGATCAAACTTGGGGCTCACATTTGCAAAATGTGCGCCCCAGCCTTTGGAGCCATGCCCCTGGCCCGGACAGGACTAGGAGATGTTCGCATGAACCTGGGCTCTATCCCCAGCACCACATGGTCCCCTGGCACGACAGGGAGCACAGCTCAACCACCCCACGTGTGGCTTAGCTTGCTTCTAAGGCCCCTGAAGACCACCAGCTGAGGGACCATGCTCAGAAAGGTTCAGGGACTCCTCTGGGTCACATAGCTCTGGGTGAGGACAGACCCTTAGAGGAGAGGAGTGGCAGCGGGAACCCTAGTTGGGCATGTGGGCTTGCCCAGGCTATACTCTGGGAGCGGAACCATGGGGAGCAGAGATGCCCCAGTGCAGAGCCCTGGGCCCAGCCTCAAAGATGCCACCCCATGCACTCTTCACTCATGATGGGATGTTACCACTTTTAAAAGGGGACACCATATCTGCGAGCGGTTTTCTAAATGCCACGTTCTATCAGTGCCGAGTGACACTGAGTGGGAGGTGTGGGGTCTCTGGTGGGTTTGGGGGCTGTGGCGGCTCTGGGTGGTGATGATGTCCCTTGTAAATCATGCTAGGACTGTGGCTGGGTGGCACTGCCTGGTCCCATCAGGCTCTGGGCCTGAGGGGACCCAGGACCCACCCTGGGGCGACCCTGGGACAGTCCTGTGTGGAGCCCCATTCTGCTTGAAATCCAGCGGTAGCCAGAGTGACTGAGACACAAGGGTTGCCTGAGGGGTGTGTCTGACTCTAGGCCCGGGGTCTCTCCTGCCACCTGCAAGCCCCTGATAAGTGGTAACCAGGGACAGCAGAGGGAAGGGAAGGGGTGAGGCAGGGACATAGGGGAGACCCCAGAATCCTCAGTGTTGAGTAATACACTGGAATCCCCAGCACGTTGGCACCAGGTCACTGAGCGGGAGAGGAGAGGTGCAGGGTGGGGCACCCCACCTGCACTCAGCATGAGGGATAGAGCTCAGGCATTTTCCTTCTCTTCTAGCCCAAAGGATCGTGCACACCTCTCCCCCTCATCCCCCACTCGAGGTTCTCTGTTCTTGCCAGTGATCCCCTGTGGTTCCAGAACAAAGAAACTGACTCCTGGAAGACTGGGGGGTCCAGGTGCACCGGGGCTGACAGGGTGCTGAGCCCTCATTGTAGAACACAGTGCACAGCTGCTCCCGCTTCCCCTCTATGACCCTCCTACCCCCACACTCCCCTACATTCCATGTGCCCCTATGTGTGGGCCCAGGTGCCACCTCCTCCAGGAAGTCTTTTTAGATTCCTGCAGGCTGTCAGGGCAGCTTGTTCATGCTGGCTTGTAACTGCTCATTCACAGGTCTGCTCTTCGTAAGGGCTAAGCTTCCTGAGGTCTGGGTGACTCACCCCAGAGAAGAGGAAGGAGGTACGGAAGGCAGAATGACTGAAGGAGGCAGATCCACAGCCAGATGTGGCCCTGAACCTTTCTGTCAGAGACCCCCAGGTTCAGGCAGGGTGTGGGAATGAAGATGACTGCAAGGGTTGGCGGGGCCCAGGGACAGCAACAGGAACAATGTCCCTGAAGGGAGGGCCTCAGGCTGAGATCAAACCAATAGCTCTCCCCCACTGCAGCGCCTCACATAGATTATCTGAGTTCACCCCATCCCCCTCATCTCTATCACCTGAAGAGGTCGCCCCATCTCTCTCACCTTCCTTGATCACTGAAGGAGGTTGCCCTGTCTCCCTCACTGTGATCACTTGAGAGGTCGCCCGCGTTCCTCACCTTGATCACTAAGAGAGGTCATTCTGTCTCTCTCACCTTGATCACTGAGAGAGGTCACCCTGTTTCCGTCACCGTGATCACCTGAGAGGTTACCCACATCCCTCACCTTGATCATCTGAGAGAGGTCGCCTGCGTCCGCCAGCTCCAGCACGATGTTCAACTCGTTGTCCTCAATGAACGAGTCCAGGTACTTGATAATGTTTGGGTGGTTCAGTTGCTGCCCAGAGAAGGGGACAGGACCCATGAGACACAAGGTCCCTCACAAGTGGCCCAGGAGAATGGGGCAAACCCTCCAGCGCCCAGGGCCTAGTTTCTTCATCCACAGAATGGGTGAGAGTCTGGGAAGGTCAATTGCGGGGAGCAGCTGAGCTGATACTCTTGAGCTGTACTTCAGGGCGGGAGTAGGAGACTGAGGGAGGAGAGCGACTGAGGGGTGAGGAGGAGACTAAGTTGGGGGGAAATTGAGTGGGGAGACTGAAGGAGTGAGGAGAGGCTGAGGTGAGGAGAGAGACTGAGAAAAGAAGGAGACTGGGCGGGGAGAGAGACTGAGTGGGGAGGAAAGAGTCTAAGTGGGGGGAAAAGACTGAGAGGGTAGGAGGAGACTAAGAGCGGAGCAGAGAGACTGAGTAGAGAGACTGAGGAAAGAAGAGAGAGACTGAGGAGGGAGGAGACAGACTGAGGGGGAAGGACAGAGACTGAGGGGCGAGAGAGAGACTGAGGGGTGAGGAGAGAGACCGAGGGGTGAGGAGAGACTGAGGAGTTGAGAAGAGAAACTGAGGGATGAGGAGAGAGACTGAGGGGTGAGGAGAGACTGAGGGGGTGAGGAGAGAGACTGAGAGGTGGAGAGAGACTGTGTAGGGAGAGAGACTGAGGAAAGGAGAGAGACTGAGGGAGGAGACAGACTGAGAGGGAGGGGAGAGACTCGGGGAGGAGAGAGACTGAGGGAAAAAGAGACTGAGCAGGGAGGAGGGGGCTAGGGACCATAGGCTGTGGCCCAGGGCACTCACCTTGAGAAGACCAATCTCCTTCACGCAGTCCTGCCTGGCCTTGGCATCCATCATCTCGAATATCTTGGGGTGAGAAGGAGAGAGCAGGGTGGTAAGGGCAGCCCCCTGGGAATCAGGGTGGGGTGTGGTGCTCACAGCTCCAGGCTGCGGGGACCGCAGGGATCCTGGTGACTTCCGGGGACTCCGTGAGGTGGGCAGGGTGGCTTGCATGGAAGCCTGGAGCCTCGGTCGCCCACTGTCACTCACCGAGGGGGCAAGACGGAGAGGCCAGAGGCCAGCCGTCATGGCGTGGCCATGGGGATGCGGTGGGAAGGCATGGGGGGGTTCTAGCACCTCAGATGCTCAGGTTCACACCACAGTCCTTGTACTTGCTCCAAACAAAGCAGAGCATTAAGTCTTTTTAGCATCACCTCCTAGCGTGACCTGAAGCTACATCTGTGGCGCCTGAAGTATCAGAAAGCAGCTGGGCTGCATCTTCACCTGGTGGCCAGCCTACTCGCCCTGAGGAGCCTTCTCTCCCACCGGCTATCCCACGGCTTCCCACCCTTCTGGCCCCGCCCGCTCTGCTGTTGACCCCGCCCACTCTGTCTGCAGTCCCCGCCCACTCTGTCTGCAGTCCCCGCCCACTCTGCTGTTGACCCCGCCCACTCTGTCTGCAGGCCCCGCCCGCTCTTGGCTTCTGGCCCCGCCTGCTCTGCTGCTGACCCCACCCACTCTAGCTGTGGCCCTGCCTGAACGGCTGACCCTGCCCACTCTGCAGGCTCCACCCACTCTGGTTTCTGACCCTCCCACCCTGTCTGCTGACTCCACCCACTCAGATTGCTGACTTCTCCCTTCCTAGCTACTGGCTACATCCTCCTGGCAGCTGCCCCCCATATTCCCCACTCCAGGGTCATGGGGCCCAGGACTGGCTAGCAGTGGGCAGAGGCACTGGGGGCCTGAGTTCGTTTGCATGGGCGTGCTGGTGGGCCATGACCCTGACTACAGCAGGTGTTCAGTGAGACTCAGTTTTCTTTTCCTTTACAATACAATGAGCGTCCATGAACAGGGCTCACTTCCTGCATTTACAGAGGGAGAAGAAGGGGAGGGGGCGGAGGGAAGGGGTGAGGACAAAGGGAAGAGGAGGGGATGAGACAGAGGGGCAGAGGAGAGAGAAGGAGTCAGAGGGGAGGGAAAGGGAGTGGAGAGGACCAAGAGGGGGGAAGGCGGGAACAGGGGGCCCAGAGGTTTCGCCCCAGGTCTGGACTCACCTGCACTTTCTTTAGCGCCACGGTCTTCCTGTCCAGCAGGCACGTGGCCTTGTAGACCTCACTGAACTGCCCACGGCCTATCTTCTTCTCGATCTGGAAGTCAGCCAGCGAGCAGCGGAAGGAAGGGGCGCTCAGGTGCCTCTGGGGGGGGAGGAGGCATCAGTGGCCAGCCAGGGCAGGCAGGACTGGAGATTCCCCCCCACCCTCCCCTGCTTCCAGAACTGCTGTGGTTGTTCCTCTGAGGCCAAGCATTCACCCCTGCAAGTGGATCCCTAAAGGACCCCCTTGGCAGAGGAGGCCCTGAGGAGGCTGCCTCTCTCTCAGCACTGGGCAGTACTGTGTCACCCACATGCAACCCCAACTCTCCCCCTCAACATGACCCTCGGAGGCGGTCTCATCCCTGGGGTGGCCACCCTGTCTCAGGAAGGAGAGAAGACAGGTGATGCGAGCAGTGATGCTCTGAGCTGTTCCTGGGGTCGAGAGCCAGGGAGACCCCGGGAGGCCAGATGCAGTCACACACTCCCGGGAAGCAGGGGGTACGATCCAGCCAGGCTCAAGCTGCTTATGTGCAGTGCTGGCCACGCTGGTACTTCAATCTCATGAGGGCAGGTTCCTTGCAGATTGACTCCCGGACTGACAGGGTGGCCTCTGCACCGGGTTAGGGGTAACACAGGGCACAGAGTGAGGGGGTCTGAGCTGGTGAATCCCAACAGGAGCACAGAGGAGCATCTACTCTGTTGGTCCCTCCAGCTCTGACCCCTTTTTTCCTGGGGCCTGCGCTGGCTCCCAGGCACGCTGCCCATGGGCACTGGCTGGCAGAGGAGACCGCAGCTTGGCCACCCTGGGGTGGAGCTGGTGACACGGACGCTGGGAAGCTCAGACACGTTCTGGCTGTGCCTGGGTGATGGTACTCACAGCCCTGCGCAGGGTCACAGCGGCCTGAAAGCACTGAAACGGGGGGGGGGGTGCAAGAAGGCTGTGTGTCTCTGCTGGGACCCCAGTGAGGGTCACTGACACCCCACTGGCCCCACCCGCCGAGGGGCCGCCCGCTGCATCCATCCAGCTCCAAGCCCTTGGCTGTCAAGTGGGTTCTGAAACCAGCACCACGGGGACAGCGACGCCCGAGGCCACGGCCTTGACCCCCATCGAGTGGGGGAATGCCGTGCTGGGTTTCAGCCTGTCTCCATCCTGCAGACCCATCTCACAGAGGCGGAGACTGAGGTTTGGGGAAGCCATTCATCCTGTGACACAGTGATGCAGGGCCGGGTCGGTTGCCTGCGACTTCTCTATCCCCACCGGGGTGACGTTCCTTCAATCTCATCGCAAGGAGACAAGATGGGGAGTAGGGCAGCTAAGGCCGAGAGACGACAGGGTGGGAGGTTCCAGAGACCCAGGGATAAGCATGCGCCAACTCTCAGCCTGATCCCACCCTGCCCCCAAATGCTGCCCCCAGGAGACCGGCACCCCAGGAAGTTGGGAGAAAAACCAGTTCTCTCCTGCAAGCTGGAGCAAATCAGGGGCCCTCCGCCCACACTAACCTGAGCCTCGAGTGTCTGAAACACAAGACTCTGCCATCCACAAACCCTTTTCCTTTATTGCATTTTTAGAAAAACAAACAGACGAAACACCCTCGGAGCATATTATTACATGTTCAAAGGACAAAAATGCATTCGGCCAATTAATTTCCTGAAATCTCATTAAAAAATTTAGCCTGACTAAGCCAGACTTCTGACCTGAATTTTAATCATCTTTACACTGGATGGGTCTCTTCTTCTCCCCCCCCTCCCGTTTTCCTCCCTGAAATTTGCAATGCATCATTAATTTTAAGGCAACCCTTCTCGCGATTTTCAAAAGCACGCTTCATCGGAACGACACTTCCTGTAAACGAACTTCACCTTCACAGACATCTGACACGCGGGGCGGGACGGTCTAAGGGAGCCATTTTAAATCTGTGTCGCATTTGAAATCTGCAGGGCTGGAGAGAAGGGCGGGATTTCCAGCGGCTGCGCTGTAAGGCTCTCCGCTGAGCTCCTGAGCCCTCCCCCCCAGACTCCAGCTTTCTCGAGGGGTTCAAGGGTGCGTGGGGTGGGGCTAGAGGCCCTCGGGGACTCTTGTTTTGGGTCACCGCGCAGTGGTGGCAGTAAGGAACCGAGACCAAGAGTAGGTGCCTCCTCTGAGGAGGGAGAGGGATGTGCCGGGTATTTGTGGGGTGCTGCTGGGGTGCTGTTTAGCACAGTCACCCCATGTGGAAATGCCCTGGACCATCACTTATGGGTGTGTAGGTGGAAGAGGAAGGACAGTCCCAGCAACCAAATCTGGCGTGAATCTTGACTGAATTAGGTCCCCAGCGAGGTCCCCGGCCCCCACTCAGAGAGAGCTGAGCTTGGACAAGGGGGTTAGGGAGGAATCTGGAACTGGCTCCGAGCAAAGAGCCGAAGGCTGGGGAACATCAGGAGAACCAGCCAGAAGGCTGGATGTTCCCCACCTGGGCCGCCCTGGGGGCTCCATCCCCAGGTGGGAACTAGCAGGTGCGTCTACTCGCCTGGAAGGAGGCTGTGGCCTCCTCAACTCCACCCACAGCCCTGGTGGAGGTGACACCCAACGTGGACCTCAGGCCTGTCCTTCAGAGCGGTCCCTCACAGAAGCGGCGGTTTCCTCTTCCCGGAACAGCCTCTCTGGGTCCGGTCCAAACTCCTGCTCAGCCCACAAGTCATCTCCTTCCTAGAGACTCCCCCTGTCCCACCCGAATGTGCTGGACAGAAGGCGTCTCTCCATGCTCCAGGCCCCCCCCTCCCGCCTTGGGGGTGTCCCCCTGCTGCGTCTTTCTCTGGAAGCTGCCTCAGGGCCGGCCAAGAACGCATAACCCTTAGCAAACATGTCTGGAATTTCCAGGGCCCTGAAAGCTCGCCTAACCCCCATGCTCCCTTTGGGAACCATCCCAGAGCTTTAGCTTATCCCGAGCAGTCAGACCGGGTGACACTGCCCGCTGAGCCTGCAAAATCACGCCCAGCCTCTCTGACTCTCGCCTCACAGAACCCAGCAGCCTGCCCAGACTTTGCAGATGGGACACGCATTAGCCAGAACCCCGTTCTCCTTGGAAACCATGGGGTACAGTGCAGATCTGCTGAGCCTGCCTTGCGGGGGCAATGCTCTCGCAGCAAGCTGGCAGATAAAGCCAGGGGCCACCAGGGGCCAGTTCACTTCTTTCTCTCAGCTTCTTCCATGCATTAGGAATCTTTTCTTTTTTTTAATCTTTTTCCTCTTTTTGGGTCACACCCCGTGGTGCTCAGGGGTTACTCCTGGCTCTGCACTCAGGAATCACTCCTGGCGGTGCTTGGGGAACCATATGGGATGCTGGGAATCGAACCTGGGTCGGCTGCGTGCAAGGCAAACGCCCGACCCACTGTGCTATCGCTCCAGCCCCTACACTTGGAATCTTAAAGACAGCAGCGTGCCCCACTCCCCCATGCATCAGTGACTCTCACACAGGATTCCTCCAACTTCCTCCACCTGCCCACACTTCCAGAATGAGAAAAGTCTTGGAAATGAACCACTGTTTGCCTTGAGCAAAGGTTGACAACAGCAACAAAACTGGGCTGGAGTTTTGCTCAACTCTTCTTTCTATATTTCTTTTCTTTTTTTGTTTTGGAGCCATACCTGGTGGGACTCGGGGGGTTACTCCTGTCTCCATGCACAGGAATTACTCCTGGCAGGGCCCGGGGGACCCTACGGGATGCTGGGTATTAGACCAGGGTTGGCTGCAAGCGCAGCAAGTGCCCTACTTGCTGAACTATCCCACCAGCTTCCTTCTTTCTAAATTTCTAGCTATGGGCTCGGGCACTGTGAGATGACGAGTTGCCCTGGTTGTGAGCATGAGGCCTGGGGCCCCACTGATGAGGCCGCTGGTCTCTGGACCAGCTCTGGGGCCTGGGGCGGGCAGTGCTCGGGTTCCCCCCACCCCCACCCCCACCCCGGAACTAAACCCAGGGTTTATGTGCCCAAAGCATTATACTCTCTCCCGGTCCCTGAAAATACATTGTTTTTTATTTTTTGGGTGCTCCCAAGCAGTGCTGGGGGGAGACCCAGAGACAGCGCCAAAGGGGCCTGACCGTCCAGTTCAGACCGGGTCCCAGGGTGCTACTGGGGCAGGCGCACGCACGTGGGGTCAGGGACCACACTCGGCCTTGCCTGCATTTCAGCCCTTTGCACTAACTCCCCGATCCCAGAAAATGAATTTTCAGGGCTTGGAGCGATAGAACAGCAAGCAGGGCGTTTGCCTTGCATGCAGCCAACCTGCATTTGACCCCCAGTATCCCATATGGGGGGATCCCCTGAGCACCACCAGGAGTGATTCCTGAGTGCAGAGCCAGGAGTTAGCCCTGAGCATTGCTGGATGTGGCCTCCAAACAAAGAAATACAAAGAACACAAAAAAGCAACAACAACAACAAAGAGAAAATGAATATTCAGATCACTGTATCACTGTCATCCAGATCGGCGAATTACTTGAGCGGGCGCCAGTAACGTCTCTATTCCTCCCCACCCTGAGATTTTAGCAGCCTCTTCTTACTTGTCTTTTCCCAACAACTGGAGGCTCTTTCAGGGTCAGGGGAATGAGACCTGTTGTTGTTACTGTATTTGGCATATCGAATATGCCACGGGGAGCTTGCCAGGCTCTGCCCATGCGGGCAGGATACTCTTGGTAGCTTGCCGGGCTCTCCGAGAGGCATATATTTATATATATTCAGATGTCAGAATAAAATCAAGGATAACGGTGGTGGCTGAGCTCTGAACCCTTCCCGGCAGGGAGCCTGTGCTGAGGTGGGTTGTGGAGTCCGCAGTCCTGAACGTGGGGCTTTTTTCTACCTTCCAAGTGGGGGTAACATTTGATCGGTGGTGCTCCCCAGATTCCGGTGTTCTGCGAGGAAGGAGAGGGCCCGCACTGTGGTTCCCGTGGCAGCCTGCAGCTGTCCCGGGGCCCAGATGCCAGTGGGACTAGGGCGGCTTCCCCACCAGTCAGCAGAGGCCCAAAGCCCAGTCACTGCCGCTAATTGCACTTAACTATGTCATTACCTCCTCTGGTATGTGTGACGGTGCTGAGGGGGCCGGTGGGCCTCGCCCGCCCGCCACCTCCTTGCCTCGCTCTCTTGAAATAATTACGGGGCTTGCCTCTGCCAAATGAGGCTGTAATTAACCCTAATTGCTCAAAATGCAAGTGGCTAATTCTGGGAGATTAATCAAGGGGGGCTCCATTGTTAGCGAATGACTTAATATGACAAATTGCTACACGGCTCCATGAGGCCCCGCCGTCGTCCCCAGCTCTCAGCGACACGTCCTGGTGGGCTCTGACCTGTAGTGTCTCCAAGGGCTGCCCCGGTTTCTGGGTTCTGCCTTCCCAAACTCCACACAGGGGCCCCGGGCCCCCGGCGGTGGTGGGAAGGGAGAGCAGGGGGAGCTGGGACGAACTGGAACTATCCATACATCTGGATGGAGGCATGCATGCAAGCCCATGCGTTATGTTCTTTCTGGCACCCCTCTCAGCTGGATGCAGCCGGCCACCAGGGAAGTGGGCCTTGATGAAAACTCAAGTGCTGGAGGTGGGTTTCAGCTCTCACAACCTCCCTGATCAGGTACCATTGTGCAGTGTGGAACCTGAGCAACTGTCCATAACCACCTTGCCCAGACACCACTTGAAGTCACCTGGGGATCGATGAAGAGGCCGTGGCCAGTTTTCCACCACTCGGGAAGGTCATCGTCTCTTGAGTCTTTCCCTGATTTAGGTCTCAGAGCCCTGGGACATAAGCCCAGGTCTGTGCCTGCCTCTTCCTCATGCCAGGCCGCCCACGGGACCCACAGGCATCTGCCCTTCTCTGTCCTTCACAGAGTTTAGCAGCCGCGCCTGAGGCCCCGCCGTTCCTTCTGTCCCGTTTTCTTCTCTCCATTGGCCTCTCAGCCAGCCTAAGTGTGGGGGAAGGCTAGACTGCGGCATGGCTCTTACAGAGCACTGCATAGCACGTCCCCTGGGAAGGCAGGCCCAGCCCTTGGGGTCCATGGGAGGTGAGGCCAGACAGGACAGTCGGGGCCCATGCCCAGGTGGGGGGTCAGCATCGAGGATGGAGCAAGGTGGGCTGGAATCTGAGGCATCTGGATGGAGCTTGAAGGAGAGGGCCAGGAACAGCATGTGCAAAGGCCGGGGGGTGGGGGTGTGAGCAGCCCAGAGCCACAGAACCCGGGGAGCACTGAGGAGGGAGAAGGAGATCCAAGGAAGGCAAGGAAGGAAATGGGCATCCCGGAGGCTCTGGGGTGCAGGGAGAGAGGCTGGAACGGCGGGACACAGAGAGGCAGAAAATAAGGAGGCGCCTAGCCCCCAAGTCTGCCCTTTCTGTCTCTGTCCCCTCACTCTCCCCAGGGCCTCCACACCCACCCTTCTAACCGAGGCTGTTCCCAGGAAGACAAAACTGTTCCAGGCACACGGAGCCCAGAGCTCAATGCCCATCCCGGACTGGCACCAGGGAGACTTCTCTGGGTGCCACCAGGGAGACGAAGGGCTGACCAGCTTAGGTAGGGAGCTTCCCGTCCCTGGAAGCATTCAACGTGAGGCTCTGTGTAGGGGCTACTGAGGGGCTTCCTGCAGGCGCAAGCACTTGGGCAGCTGCCTGGTGGCTGCGCTTCTCGGAGGGTTTCTCCCAGACTGCAGAGAGGAGAAAGGGCTGGCTTACCTGCGGGTCAGGAGGGTGTGCGGGCCCCGGGCCATGGCCGAAGTTGTTGGGGCTCCCCCCGGGAGGCAGCTGGCCGGGCTGTCCTGCCATCCTGCATGCCAGCCTCACAAGGGCACGGGCTGCAAAAGAAAACAAGGCTTTTCTCACGCGGGCACACTGGCTCCCGGGGCGGCTGGTGGGGGCACTTCCTGTGTCTGATGGCCCCTCGTCACAGAACGGGCAGGGCGGTACACACCATTCCTCCACCAGGCTGTGCAGCTTCGACGCTGGTGGGGGAAACTGAGGCTCCAAGCAGGGAAAGTTTGTTTGGAGGCCCGTCAGCCAACAGAGTCTGGAACTCAATACCCCCAGCTGTCACCCCCACGTGGGCCTGGCTGGCAGCCTGAACTCTCAGGAGAGAGACCTTGAGTCTGATGCCGAGGACCACACGCCTGTGCTCAGGGCACCAGACATGGGAAGGCAGCCTCCCCCCATGCCTGCCCCGGCCACCTGCCCTGCAGGAAACTGGGGTGCAGCAGGGCCTACATCCTGCCCCCCCCCGACACCTGGGCTGGCTTGGGCCGTCACACCAGAGCCCATGAGAATGCTGGTGCCACTGGAACTGGAGCCAAGGGCCTGCCTGAGGGGGCACTCTCTGGGCAGGGGGCAGGGACCCAGGGCCACCCGATACAGCCATCACCCCTACGACTGTCACCTCCCCCAGCAGAGCGATGTCCAGACAGGGCCCGTTGTGGCCCGGCTGCGTGCCTCTGGGGGACCACCCGGCCGCCTGCACTTCCTGAAAGTGGGGTGCAGGAGGGACGCTCTCTTGCCCACAAGCATTTCTTCAGCCCCTCCCAGGTGGGGGTACGCCTGGTCTCACACTGCACCCTCTTCCTCAGGGTCCCCTGTCTCATCGGGGTCGGATTCCAGGGAAGCCCCCTAGGATAGATCCGACACGAGCGTCTGCCCCCCACCCCACTATGCTCCTGCACCCCCTTTACATGGCTGTTCAGGGAGGGGGGAGGGAATGAGCACCAATGAGTAGGGGAGGGGCTGCAGTCAGTGCTGGGGAGGCCCCAGATGCGCCCTGGCTTGGGAGAGGAAGGGTGCCCCAGACCTGCAGCTGCCTGACCCCCGCGCCCGACCCCCTCTGTCCCCATTCTGGCCTGGGATGTGGGTGTTGGTGCCCTTTCTGCCTTGGGACCCTCCACTTCACAGACTGTTGGTGGGGAGACCACCCTCCACAGCTTAGACAGAAGAAGGGGGGAGGGACTGTCCCAGGCAGCAGCCTGAGGGTCAAGTGACAAAGTGGACACGGCTGCTCCATGCTCTCCGGAAGCCGAGTGGGGCAGGGGTCATGCGGGGTGCTGGGTCTGAGGCCCCTCCATTTGGCCCCCAGGTTGCTTCCTGAGATGCAGATGGATTCAGGGTACCCTGCAGCTGGTGCCCGCCTTCTACACCAGAGCTCCCACATGCGAGCAGGCAACCTCCAGGTGGCACCGTCAGGACTGGGGATGCCGGGCACCCACCAGCAGCTCCTGGAGGCGGTGACTCAGGGGATGGTGCCCCAGCTCGAGGGCTGCAGGGAACAGCGTGTCAAATGAGCAGGTCAGTGAAAATACAACCTGAGTCTTGGCAGCTGCTCGGGGCTGCATCCAAGACCCCTGGGGAGACACGCCTCGGGGGCACCTCGGGGCAAAGGCTGGAGGAGTATGAGCCCAGCTGGATGCTCCATCTTCATTCCCAAGCCCGTGGTCACATGCCCCCTTGCCCAGGCTTCACTCCTGACCCAGAGCCACTTCCCCTGCCCTTGGCTCAGCTCCTTCAGGCTTGGGGACTAGATGGTGCCTCCTCCCTGTCCCCTGTGACTTGCAGGGGACAGAAACCTAGTTGGTATGGGGATGTCAGCACCAAGGGCAGAGTGGGTGATCCTCCTCCCGGCTCTGGGGCCCCTCAGAGGCGCCAGATGACAGGCTTCAGGGGCTCAACTTGCTGTCATGCCAATGAGTGAGATCGGTCCACGGGTCCATTTTATTTTATATTTTTTTTATTTTGGGCGATGCTCAGGGGTTACTCCAGTCTTGGCACTCAGTAGTAGTAGTAGTAGTAGTAGTACCTGGTAGTACTTGGGGGACCATATGGGATGCCAGGGATTGAACCCAGGTTGGCTGTGTGCTAGGAAAGCATCTTACCCGCTGTACCATTGCTCCGGCCACGCGCCCCCATCCCCACCCACATGGGCCCATTTTACAGATGAGGACACAGAGGCCCAGTGCCTGCTCCAGACCTTGCAGCTCACATGCAACATGGGCACTGGGGCAGGAGTCCACCCCACGGAGGCTCCTGTGTCCCAATCCCTGCCCCACGTGGCTTCAGTGATGACAATCCCTTCCCAGGGCTCCTCACAGAACAAGGTCCTCTATTCAAAGAATGGGGTCAGTGCTGGGGGAACAGGAGGTCCCCAGGGATCTGGGAAGGATTGCCCGTGGGCTCCTGGGCTTGGGCAAAGGACTGTATGTCACTATTAGAGCCAGCTGGACACGCACCTCAGTGAGAAGAGGGGGGGCCTCAGTGTGGAAACAGCCGCTAAGCAAGACTCTGCAAGCCCCAGCCCCTCAGTGTCAGGGAAGGCCCCTCCAAAGAGTCAGGGGAGGGGAACTGGCAGGTAGGAGGGGGGAGAAAAAAGGGAAGAGGATCAGTGAGAAGGGAGGAAGCAGAGAGGGTCCTGGAGTCCCCCAGCAGGTCAGCCCCATGCCCTCCTGGCTGCTGGCCGACCCATTCCACAGATGGGAACACTCAAGACCACACCAACCAGTAATCAGAGAACTGAGCGTTCTTACCTGGATGCCGCTAACGCCCCTCTGCATCCCAGATAGCCCACAGGCATTTCAAAGAATTTGCATGACTTGTCAAGCCCCAGGGGGTCAGCTGAAATTCCGGGGGAGGGGGGTCAGCTGCAGAAGGAAGGGGGTGCAGACAGATGGCGCCTCAGAGAGCAGGAGCTGCCTGTGCCCACAGTGCCTGCAACGCCCCAGTCGGGGGCCAAAAATCCATGGAATGTGAGCGCGGGTGACTGGAAGCCCCATTCCCCTCTGTGGGGGCTCCCAGCCGAGCCCCTGTGTGTGTGTGTGTGTGTGTGTGTGTGTGTGTGTGTGTGTGTGTGTGTGTGTGTGTGTGGCCACAGGCACTGGGCCGGGCTATGAGCAAGGTCCATTGCAGCCTGGCTGTCTTCGACCTCACAGCCTCAGTGTTGTCAGCAGAGAAATGAGCTCCCCCTGGTGAGTGCCCCCCACCCCCCTCCCACAGCAGATGCCAGAGACAAATGCCCACTGCCTGGGGCCCAGCGGCATGGCCAGGGCACCCCCGATAGGGGATGGGGGGGTTCAGCCAGGCCTGACGGGTTTCAACCCCGGCTTCTCCCAAGCAGCCTGGGTGGAGCCATCACCCCCTTGTGTGGGGGAGAGAACTGAGGCTTCGGGTAGAAATAGGCCCTGCCAAAGTCAGGCCCCGGCGGGGGCACAGCTTCCCAGATCACGAGGCTCAGAGCCACATAGGAGAGAAACCGACTCAGCCCCTGCTCAAGGCTGGGGCAGGACTGTCCCCTCCACACACAGCAGCCTCCTCAAAGCCACGCGCCAAAGCCGTGCTGGGCGCACCCTGCTTCCCACATGCCCCCCAGATGGAGCGAGGAGAGCTTGCAGTCTCAGAGAGGTCAGGTCACAGGCCCCAGGAAACACAGCAGGCCCTAGACAGGACCAGTACTGGACACCAAGGGAGGGGGGCGGCCTGGAGCCCCCAGCCTGCACTGCCTTGGAAGAAAGAACAAACGAAGAGGCCAGGAGTGAATGAAACCCTGGCGCCTGGCCCAGCCTCCGTTCTCTGCCTGGTTGTGGGATTGGCAGATACTGGCTGTCTTGTCGCTTGACCGGAAGCAGCGCGGTCTTGGGTCAGTCATGGGGCCTGGGAGTGGTGGGGGACACGCCACAGATGGTGTCTGCCTTCCCGTGTCCCCTCTCTGCCCCCTCACACTGCTCAGATTCTGCAGTTCCACACAGAACCCGGAGCCTGGCCTTGGCAAGGACCCCCTCGAAGGTTGGCACGTTTCCCCAGACAGACTGCCAGCCCCCTCCTCAGGGAGAGCTGCCAGGCCTCTCCTGGGGTCTCTGACCCCTCCTCACCACTACAGACCCCGAAGGATCCAGTCACGGAACCGAACGGGGGCACCGGCTGAGGCGAGTGCCCCGGGGTTCAGGAGCACCCACAGGCCCTTTCCTGCTCCCCTTAGCTCACCTGGTCAGGGGTCCCTCACCAGGCTTCCAGGCTGCCCACGCCCGGGGCCTGAACCAAGGCAGGGACGCTCAGCATGTGAACGCTGACCCGCCGTGGTGCCCCCAAAGCCCACAGCACGCAGATCCTTCCAGGCCGATCTGCACACGCACAACCGCACACGAGCACTCGGGGCCGAGTCTCACATTCACAGCAGGACCTGGTCCTGGAGCTCTGTGTCCTGCCTCCATGACCCCAGGCAGCGTGGGCACAGGGCCCCTTGGGCATATCTCTGCAGGCATGTCCTAATCTGCCTCTGAAGCAGGGCTGACCCTCAGCCGCCACCAGACACCTGCTAATCTGACACCTGGGAGAGCCACTGGATGACCTTTGGACCATTCCCAGAGCCCGAAGGCCTGAGCAGGAACCCTCACCTTCAGACTCGGGGCCTCAGAAGTCCCCCCACCTGGCTGAACCTTCACTTCTCTGGCCACCTTCTTTGTCCTCCTCCCCGGCTCCTGATGCCCAGTTCTGGAAGGAAATATCCGGGCACTGGGGGCAGGGCACCCGGCTCAGGGACCCACCCGGCCCTGGTCTCCTCTTGGCAAGGTCTCTGGCTCAGGGGCAGCTGCAGCTGGGTGAGAGGAAGGCAGGAAGGTCCTCTGGGTGGGGGTGGGGGGGAGGTGTGTGGGAATCACTTGTTTACCCGCAAAGGAACTGTGGCTCAGGGAAGGCACGGGACGTGCCTGGGCCCGGCACCTGATAATTGGCTCCTCGGGAGTTTGAACCCAGATTCTACACTTCAAATTCTGGGTTTCAATCTCCTTTCCCGGAGGCAATCCTTGGAGACCACCCTAGTCCTGGAGCTGGT